TGCTGAGAATTCATGAAATTTACTTTTAAACTTGAGAATAAAAGCAAGTTATCAAATTTCTCAAAGCTAAGAATCACTCTTACACTCCCATTTATTTAAGAGGGCTCAAGAGGTCTCTGAAGTGGTTAGGAGTTGCCAGTAGGGCTTGTGATGGCACTGTGGAGACAGACATGCGGAGAGGAGAGGTAGAATTCTGATGACTCGCAGTTAATCAGACGGGGTCGGACAGCAGCCATGAACTTTGTCAGCGAGTTGGTGAGGGACGTGATCTCACCACTGACTGCGCAGTAATGCGTTTTCAGTTAAATTCAAGTTGGTGACGACACTTCGTTTATTTGCCACAGGAGAAACGCAGCAATGCTGATGATTTTGACCGTCATAACCATCAATAAGCCGAATAGTCATGGAAACAATTATAGCACTTACGCTACAGCCCCACACACTGTCACGCCTTTCATCGAATTCCCAACAGCACCACCCCCATAATGCGACAGAGGCAAACACAGTTCATATAGCGGGCAATACAGGAGTAGTAGGTGCATTTGATGGCGCCCATATACATATGCAGGCCTATATCATAATGTATTATGTTGAAAATTCTTTATGGTTAAATGTGTGTTGAATATAAACTCCTCTTAGGAATTTCACCATTCAATGTGAATTTATCTGAGAAAATCCCTAATAAGAAAATCTATTCAGTGATTGGTCCTTGGCCACATCGTCATCCAAAATCCTGTTTGCGGCACAGCAAAATGTGGTAAATCAGCACTAAGACTGGGGTTTACCCATGGGCGCCATATAGGGGGGCCCCTGACTGACAGGGGCCCCAAAAAATAATTAGAAACTAATATCAAATTATATTATATTATACATTATATAAACCATCATCATCATGGAGTATAAATATATTTCAAATATAATAATAAAACGAATGATCTCTTTGTTTTTACTTGTTTTTGGCAGTGAAAGTTAAAAATCCCCATTGACCAAAAAGTAAACCTACATTTTGACCGACCACCCCAAAGAAAGGTGGGCAGCCTTTAGTCTGTGAGTGGTGTTAACCTGTTAACTTAATGTCCACAGTGAAATAAGCTAGCTAGCTACAGACTAATGTTAGCCTACATTTCATCAACATTTAATCAGTGCAGGGAAACGTTTAACAAGATATTCATATTAAATCATTGTCCCTGCCCCTTTTAGCAGACTAACAACAGATGAGTCAGCAGCAGCCCAGTCTCCCCATAACTGTAGCCTCCGTGGCTACAACTGTAGCCTCCCTGGCTCCCTAGTCATAGAGAAGTGGTGACAACACCTGCGCAGAGGGGGTCCAATTAGATTTTTTTGTTATGGGGCCCAAAAATCCTGGTGGCCCCCCTGGGGTTACCAATTGCAATATATTGGTTAGTATGCTTTCAAAAAACACATACTAAAGTGTGTTGATACATGGCATGCTTAAAAAAAATAGTGATCCCGCTTCACATCTCTAGCTGTCCTCTAATTGTATTAATTGCCTAATCAACAAATAAATAAAGACTTACAGTTGACAAAAATCTAAATTTGCTAAATTAGCTCACTGAAAAACCAGCTATGTAAAGGTCCCTTTGCAATACATTTGGCTCACACAGACAATGAGCTTTTATTGTGTTGCACTACCACTGAACAATTACAAGTGAATATAATACAGACTTATGGAGATACACACCATTATTGGGCTATAGTATAGGTCTAAATCAACAGTGATTTGGGGGTACTTGAACAAATTAATGACCTTAAGTAGTAAACGGCAGTTGTAGAGTACAAGTAAAACGTTGCTATGTTCTGTATATACTCCATGGCTGTACGCGCGTCCCATGTAAAGTGAAAATACGAACAGAATTTGAGAGTAGTCAGTCAGTTGCAAGATCACATCTTTTTATTCATGGGAAAATTTTGATTTTACAGAAGGAACTCGGAGACATCTAGATAACACAGTGTCCTTAATGCACTTATATCATTTGTTTGCTTCAGTTCTTTCACCTAACCAATGTAACCATACTTGTTATTGACGCCCCCTGAATCTTTTCAGTTTTATTCTAATGTAAACTACTCTAACATGAAGTTAAGTTAATAAGGCAGGTGATTATGATTATAAATTAAAATGAGATGATGAGATGTATAGTACACATGTGATTTCTGTATTAAACTGTGAGGTTTACTCAATGTTCCTGCATGGTTTTTTCAATCCACTCCCTGTAGTGACAGATATCCAGCATTACAATCGGGTTTGCACACTTATCAGTGGGTTTGCTGACAATAATTCCATGCAAGAGTTTGTTATACTCCACAGCTGAACCCGAGTCACCCTGGAAGAGAGAAATCAGAGGTGTGATCATTTCACATATGAAAATAAGTTAGATAATTAAACAAATATAATATAAAATGGTTTGCTTACATAGCAGGCCTCCACACCAGGTTTATGAGCACACATGGTGGTGGTTTCATCGCTGAAGTATTGAGTACCAGGTTTATCATTCTCACCACAGTCTTTGATCTCTGTGCTGGCACACCTCAAACTGCTGGATGGTTTGGCTGAGAATTTAAAACAACGCATCAGATAAGAGACATCTATTTTCAAAAACTGAATCTAGTGTCTCCATGTTGCTCACCTGTCACATGTGCTTTCTTGGCTCCCCAGCCTCCGACCTCAACCTGCTGACCCTTCTCTGGTTTGGTACACCCAACAGGAGGAAGCTTGATGGTAGGAAGGCTACCAGACATATCCTCATTCAGCTTTATGAGCATGATGTCATGGGGACGCCCGTCCTCTCCTTTGAAGGTAAACTGTTGTTCAATTTTAATCTGTTGCTCATATTTTTTGGACGATCCTTTAAAGAAAGACAATGCTTTTGTGAAAATTGACACGTCATTGTTTTTGCCAAGGGTCACTTTCACAATCCTGCAAAAAAAAAAAAAAAAGAGAGGAAAACTTGTCATGAGATTGACGTAAATCAAACATTAATGCAAAATAATTAAAAAAGGCAGTAATTCGCTTCCACTTTTATTATTTGGCTGATTTAATTTTCTGATGCAAGCTTCGTAATGGTCCTGACACAAAGTTGTTATTTCACATTAAATTTATTGGCAACTTTATTTAGTTTATAATGCAGATCTAAAAAGATAATTGTTATACAGCAACTGCATATGTTTTATTATTAAAATCAATTTGTAACACTCAGTTGAGAATACATTATGCATTATGTGGGGTGCTGAATGTTCCTTACTGTTCTGCACAGTGAGAAGCAGTGATGACCCAGCGGGTGTTGAGCAGAGAGCCTCCACATGTCTTGCCCGGCTGGACAGACTCTATCTGGACATGATACTGCCTGTCCTTGTCACAGCTCCTACCCCCGAGGATCCTCTTCTCAATGGCCCCTGATGCAGCACCTGACAAATGGAAGATGAGCAGGCGGTTCGTCAACTTCAGGCTGATAAATGGGTTCAAATCATAAAGAAGGAGCTGCAGTTTACTTTTGCTTGTTGAGTAATCCGGTGCATCTAACAGGCAGTTGTATGCAGGAGGAAATAATGTCTTCCAGATAAAAATTTGACTGTATTATAGTGGAAGGGGGAAAAAACTCACCAGCGAGCGCCAAAACAAGAACAAAGCAGGGATTCATCATTGTCCCTCTGATCTAGATCACTTCAGGTGGCTGCTGTCTGATGCTTCATCTTTTTATAGTGAGCGTTACAAAGCTATAAGAGGCTGTCGGCCTCCCAGTCCCCTCCCTTTCATTATGTGCAGTTCCATATATGGCAGTTGAATAAGTGAGAGGGTGGGACAAGTAGAAGACTGGGACAGTAATTGTGGATTTTATTATAGAACTGTGCAGCATTTTGAATACAAACACCACTTATGAACTGCAAGACCAGATCAGAGCACCTTTGTTGTAATGATAACTTCTATTTGTGTGTCAAAATTAGATTTATTTCAAATTTTGCTCAATCCTGCTTCTTAGCCTGGTTCACCGCTTTTACGTCCTTGGACCACTTTCGATAGGTACTGACCACTGCAGACAGTTTTGGAGATCACACCAAAACTGACCACATCACATCAACTATGAAGAAACAATGTTCACCTGCTGCCTAACATATCCCACCTCACCTGTCAGTGGTCATAATTTTACGGCTGATCGTACAGTACAGTATGTGTTAAATGAAATTGTTTAACACTTTAGGTCACCAATGACAGAGTTGAAATTTAATATTAATTTAGTATTTCTCATTTATATATAGCAAGTACTTAAAGGTCTTGCATGAAATATGAATGAATGAAGTTTGAGTAGGTCTATATTTCTGAGTATCAATTGGGGTGTTGGTGTTGTTAATAACGGTAACGCTTGTTTTATTTGTGTTCCTTTTCTTTTCAAACTCTTCTACATTTCTATCACTACATTTGATTTCTTTTTTTCTGTCCTTTTCTATCTTTTATTTATTTACACAAATACTGCTTTGCGCAGCATCTTTCGCCTCCCAAAGTCTTGTAATACTGTAAATAAAGGCTGTAACACATGCCCTTTAAGTCCTCATGCTAACTTTACCCTCCTGTTGCTGTTTTATTATTTTGTATTTTAACTTTTTGATGCTAGACTCTGAAACTGTGTAATGTTCTGTAGTAAAAAGGTAAATTGTGAATTATAAACCCATAACCATTCTATTTTAATTGCCACGTCTTTGTTCTGATACTCTTATATATCTATACAAATGCTCAGCTATCTATTCTCATTTGACTGTTTATTTGCTTATCTGTTGAAATATGGATCATCTTCTAACTGAATAGTGAAATTGTAGCCTAATAACTATAAAACATGTTTTCTCTCATGAACACTGAATGTGTGTGCTTGAGGATATTTTTTACGTAAGTATTACTTAAAGTTTTATGGAGGGTACCACTGGTATGACCATGCATGTAATTAGCCCGTTTTATTGGTTACACCAAACAATAAATCACTCATGAAACCATGTCTTGATAGTGGTAATAAAAAAAACGTTTTATTCTCTATCATCAATAAAGTCTATGATTATTTAAACCCTTCACAAATTTGTTCAACAGTTCAGGACAAAATAGAAATTGAAACACATGAAATCAACAAAACACTGGATCCAATTTATAGAAATTGCATTTTCATCAACATTTTCTCTCCAGGTATGGGACTTTTTTTTTTTTATACACGAAGAGGCGGACAGAGCTTTTTGACAAAACAAAGCAGAGGTTGTCCAAGCTTTTCAATGTCAGACAACAAAACTGACAATGAGCAACAGCAAGTTTGAAAACTAAATTTGATTGTTTAATTCAAAAAAATCTCATCAACATTTCCCCTGCAAGATCGACCAAAGGGGAGACAAAAAGGCAGACAATGCATCTGTCATCAGGACTCCTATTCTGCATTTCTAAGTTTACTTTGAAACATGAGTAGATCCCAGATTAACATAATTAACATAAATAAAAAATAAGTTAAAAAACTGACACTGCTCAGGATATGAAGTTATCTCTCTAAAGATTGAGCTGATAATATGAACTCTCTTGAAATCACATTCTTTCAATTTGTGTTCCTCAAAAGGACTTTGAACTGAAACGTTAAAGTTCCTAATACCTACTGTTCATCTGAAACATATAAAAAAGTAGTATACAATCTTCTTTAATAGTTCACTCAAAATAAGCATGATAAAAGTTTTGATGACACCTGTAAAGTGTTAGGACGTTATTGTAATGATGAAGCTGAGAATAATGACAATGAGTTCATGGGTTCAAGCAATCAACCTATCAAACCACAACGTTTCTCCTGTTATTCCCCATGTGCTTCAAAATTAAGAGATATGTCCATATATCCAATGGGTAGGAGACCAATAAGGGTATAAATATCAGTTATGTCCTGCACACCTGTCTTTGTGTCAGCCAGGGGCAGAACAGCTTAACTGTTTTACAACCTACTGTAATCACACAGAGCCATATAATTCAGATTCAAATTAAAATAAGCAAATATTATGCAAATATTATCCAGGGCATTCAAAGTATTCCCTTCAGTATATAACTTGTTCTTCTGACTTACTGATCCAAAATGTTGAGCACAGGACACTTCCAACCTTGTGACACTTCAATGATCTTAAGTATAGCCGAGAATAAAAGCCTTGCTGCTACTAAAATGCCAAAACAATTAAACAACTACACGTCTATTAAGCCAACCTTACTTTTTTTCCAGCATTAAGGGGAATCAAAAAAAGATGCTGTTAACAAGACTGTCAGGACATTTCCTTCATTTGCTGCAGTTATGGAAAGCCTTATTTGCGTTCACTGACAGACATCTTGTAGAGTAAAATGTCCTGGCCACTGAAAGTCAGCATCCTTTCTATGAGAGACTGTACAGGAGTAACTTAAGGCATTGTTGAACATGTGAGAGAGGAGAGGCCTGTGCTGCAGAGCCCTCTATTGAAGGAGTCTGGCCACTGAGCTCACTTAAACCATTTCCACTTAGTACAGTATTTCACGCCTCGCAACCCTATAAAGGGTCTGCATATTATCATAACTTATATTGCATTGAGGTTCCAGTGAATACAGAGTGAAGATAACATAAACACCACATCTATCCACATAATCAAAACCCACTGATTTTCAGGCATGTTGATGGGTGACCCATAAAAGCACCTCGGGGCTTTTTGTATACAGTATGACACAAAAACAGAAAACATGAGGGTGCACGCTTGGCTGACATTTGCATATTTGTCATTTTTTTGTGGCTCTTTCAGAATATTGTGAATTGCATAAGAAGTCGTCAATATTCTTACTCTAATACAGAAAACGTGATGATCCTAACTATTAGAATATCTGACTGCATGTTACCAAATCAAATGTACAGAATGTCATTAAAATGACAAATAAAAGACATTCCAGAAAGCAAATGCTCATGAAATTAAACTGACAAACAAAACATCACAAGTCTTTCTTACAGAAATTTCCACCTTAGTTTGTTTTATCTTCACTGTGTTTGGAGGGCTGCGCATTGACCTGTTGCGCTGAGGTGTAAAACAGGTCCTGCTTCCTAATGTAGCGTGCGTGATCCTTCTCCAGCCCTATAAGACAAATTCAATATTGTGTTAATAACGCAGGCATATCTTTGTTTGTGTTTTCTATCAATAAAGCTGCACAGTGCCTGTAGCAAGCGTACATTAAAACTAGTAAATCTAAAAAAGCTGCATTAACATTCAGTAACAGGCAAAAAGGTGTGTCAAGCAAATGTCTAGCAGTAAAAGACTTAAGGATGGACATGTCTGTGATACTTAGAAATGTCATTAGACAATAAATTATAAAACACAAACTGTTCATGTGGTATTTTCTGGGAAATATCATTGTCATACCATATCATTAATCCTTAACTACCATTTCCCAAGGAAAATTAGAACAAAGAAAATACAGCATTATTAAATGGTGTTCCCATTGATCACCTGTGTGTGAACTGTTTTCAATCTGCTGCCATGAAATATACAACGGCTCTGATTTCAGAGACAAGCTTGATACTTGACTGAAAAACTCGATTTTTGCTTAATATCAATTTTTAGCAATTACAGTGTGTGACATGTTGAATCAATGTTTTTATACTATAATATAGCATAGAGAACAAAAAGAGAGTGCATGTTTCAGTGTGTACCTTAGACTTGAGCAAGCTCAGCTTGTTTGTCTGCTTCAAATTCGCCTTCGTTCTCATCATCCCCATTATAATCAGCCAGCTCCTCCTCCATGTCCTTGTCTATCAGAAAGTAAAAAGTGGTTATTCACATGAAACACACACAAATACATTTTTAGCACAGTGCATTTATTATCTCCTCTCCGCACCGCCGACCTACAGCCGATCTATTTTTGAGAATTACTACCTCGTGATGGAGCCTTTTTTTCAACCAGCGCAGCTTTTCCAGCATTTACTGTATTGATTTAGCCGCCCAGGAAACTTACAGACCAATTGCATGTGCTCGTAACGTCTTATGTGATGCTGCTCAGCCAGTCAAATCTGTGCATTGCGATAAACATTGCGAGTTGAGTCAGCGAGTGAGATAGGGCTAAACACATGGACAGAGATGACAGAGAAAAGAGAGTTCACGTGGATTTGTGGAACATGTACATTCTTCCCACGGGAAGTTCAAACCCAGAATATCTCATATGATCCGACAGTCACAATTAAAAGCGGCAATGTGAAGCACCACTATGAGACAAAGCACTCATTTGAGCAAACGTACCCGCTCAAATCCGAACTGAGGGAACAGAAAATACAATCCTAGCCAGCAGGACAAGCTAGAGCTCACGTTTCTCACTGAACAAGAGAAAGTAAAGAAGTGGTTTATAAGAGGGAATGAAGGAGAGCAGGTATTAAAGCTGTACTACAATCCTTTCAAGCAACACTTTATTTCATTTGTTTCTGAAATTAAGCACTTTATTTAAAGATGCATATTTAAAAAAAATGTCTTTTTTTTAATGCAGCCTTTAGTTTACTTAAATTAAGAATGTATTATTAGAGTAGTTATTATTTATTATTCCTCCAGTTTGATGTGAAAACTAACAGTAAATATTGTTGAAATATAATTTGATTTGACAGTCAGTTGTTGCCTAAAAACATATGATGACACAATATACGTTATGGCACTGAATGATAACTCAAGTTAGTCGTTATGATGTTCCGGACTGTTACGACTCTAACGGTCATGTGTTTAGTTTGCGGTGTGTTCCTTCTCTCTCTCAGCTCTCTTAGGTAGTGACCCTTCCCACATGCCTTGGCTGCGTGAGAGAGTGGCAGCAGGTGTGACTGATCACCACTCAGGGCCTGGAGGTTAAGAAGGCTTAGGTTTTTCAGAGCATTCTGTTTTCCCCTTCTACCTGTTGAGACCACACTGCTGAGCAGACCAACAACCGTAAGCAGATCAGAACCAGCCAGCCCAGCGGACAGTGGCAGACCATTCAACCAGTGGGTTGAACAACGGCTTTGTTTTCCGTGAGTCCGGAACAGCATGTCTAGTTTAGCGAGGACTTTTCAGTTGTACAGTTGTTAATTTAGTGTTGAACATAGCTTCCTTAGTTATTTAACCTGTATTGTTTATTGCCTTACCTGATTGTTCAGTCTTGTTTTGGGAGAGTAGTTTTGTGTTGGTTTTCCTTTTTTGTCAACATTGTAATAAATAGAACTTTTGGTTTGCACATGACCCTGACTTCCTGTCCTCTTCTAAACATTGTTGCTCCTCCTACCCCTGGACTTACCATCCGGAGAAACGTAACACGGACCTTTGCTTGGACTGGACCTCTTTAAATTTTAATTGAATACCCCTTCTGTAGACCTTCTCCCTCCTCTCTCTTTACATACACTTTTTCAGTCATCTACGTAGACACACTAACCTATATTTTCAGCCCGTTGGCGCTGCTGTTTCTCCACGTCTACTCCACCCACAACTTGCTCGTCTGCGTCATATTCCTCTGGGCCATCAACTGTCTGATCCATAGGATTCTGGTCTGCTTTCACGTTGCCAACCAGCATGCCTTCCATCCCAGGGTCTGCCTCTGGAGACATGAACAACTTGTTGTTTCAGATCACAAACGTTTCAACCTCCTCGCCGGGAATGCTTGGATAGGAATAACAAACTGGTTTACTGCTTTCAGTGGACCAGGGGCCTGTACCAAAAGGCAGGATTTGCGCTTATCTAGGTAACTTCGGGGTTAACCCTGGGTTCTCAGTACCACAAAGGTGGTTTACTACTTACCGGGGCAGATCGCCATGGTATCTTATGCTGAACTGCTAACCTGCTCCAGAGCAGGTTGTTTTCAAATAAGGGCTCAACTCTATGAAATCACCACCTACTGACCAATCTGCTTTCTCGGAAAATTAATCACAATCTGTAGGAAATCCCACAGACTGTTTTAGACTATAGGCTGCTTTATGTTTGCTGCGGTGATACAGAAACTCTTGTAGGCTATAGCAATATCATCCTATGGAGACTGATTAAAAGCCTTAAGCTATTGTTGCCTACAGGCTTTTAAAGTAAGCCTACTTACTAGTTTGAAATGTGGTGTTTTTTTTTTATTTTTTATTTGCTCCCAGTCAGTTTCACACAGCCTGTTGCAGCTGTTAAAATAAATGAGTTTTGTTCTTCTGTGAGGCTGAATATTATGAGCAGTTTGGTAGGTATATTGAAATACAAAATTTTAATATGAATGTAGGCATCTATTTTAGGTTAGTATAGCTTTCTTATATGCCTACTACAGAGACTGTAGTCATGTTCTGCCCCACCTTTGAGATTCAGTCTTTCAACCACTATTTGAGCACATTTTATAGCATTAATGGACTTTTCAATTCATTGCTTTATGAGGCTAATTTAGAACAATGTTTGGAACACTTTAGAAGTGTGTTAAATAAATTAGCTTTGTTTGCTTGTTTTGTAAAATATGATTCTCTGATGCCAATGGACTTGTTTGCGACTGGTCACCTGCTAACACCGCCTCTTGTATGTGAATGCGCTCCCGACTGGATTGGGGAAACCCTGGGTCGAGTTACCAAGTTGATAACCAGCTTCGTGGTACCGCTTATCGTGACTTTGTGTTAAGCCAGATCACTGAAAAATATCCTGCGTATGTTGAACTCACTTCGTGGTACGGACCCCAGGTGGAGTGGACTGAGTTGGCATGCTACCTGAAAATGTGACAATCTAAACTATTTAATTTGTACACCTACATTACAGCTGCATGTTTTAAATGCTGGTTAAAAGTAGTTCTGTTACAAACATTAGGATGACAACACTTGTATAATCGCTATTGGAAATAGGTCAGAACTTTCTATTGGCCCTTAAACTTGTTTTAGATAGTGTATTCAGGGACATGGTGCTAGTACCTGTGACACTTTGAGTTGCACATGCATCACTGTCTTGCGTCTACACAACAGTGTAAACGAAGTAATGGTAGTACAGCTGTTTTGCTCGGTTTTTTAACCTTTATTTATTCAGGGGAACTTCACTGAGAGGCATCTTTTGCAGGCCACTAAGGAAGCTGCCCAGTACAACCACAGCCTGGTCTGCTGGCCACTAAGCAGCTGTTGGGGTTATGGGCCTTGCTCAAGGGTGGTGGTGGTACATGAGGGAGGGCAAGCACTGCTTGGTTTACTTTCCACACCAAGGTTTTATCCTTCCAGTCCGGGGACTGAGCTCACTTCTCTAACCTGTGGACCACCACATGCAAAACATAATATATTTTTGTGATGTAAACTGGCCAAACAGCAGTCGGCTTCGTTCTGATGTCCAACTCTGATCTACATGTAACCCCGCTGGATACAGTTAGAGAATACTTTACCACAGTGTTTCTATGATACTGTCAAGACTGGCCTTGTTGTTCGGTGGGAAAACACAAGTACTCATGTGTTCAATGAGTCTGATGCTCTTCAATATAAAAAGGTTAGTTCCTTACCTTCTATCTGAGCATCCATGACCTCCATCTCTTTATCCTCAGTCAGATTATTCTTCAAAAGTTTACTGGTCTCTGCCTCACCCTCTGTTGTGACAGTTCCCTCTGGTGGTTGCAAAAGGTCCTGCTTGACCACAGCCAGGGAGGGACCAGACTGGGACGCTACTTCTGTGAGATCCTTTGCCATGTCCACCGGGGCATCTGGCCCTGGGAAATGACAAGGCAGAAAGCACGGGCAATGGGAGTGTCCACTTGTCATTGCAGGTTTTATTGCAGCATAACATGATGCATTGGATGTGCAGTATGTACATCCTACGCATACATACAGGGTACCCCAGGATTCTCCAAGTTATATTTAAGACCTTTTTAATACCACCTAGGATGAAATATAAAACATTTTATTATAATACTCGCATTCATATTTTATACAATCGCTTTCTGGGGTGTGTTTGTACACAAATGAATACAATATTTGTTGTACTAATAACTCTTTTGGTGTGAAACCAAAAATACAAAATTTGTGCAATATGAGTGGTTACAATTAGTTACACTTTGGCTAGATAAGGTAATGTAGTAATATGACAATGCTAATGTCAATAGCTTCAGTGATTCATCCTGTTCTGTTTTTGCATCTAAAAGTTGCTTGAAATAGTATTATGTGGTAATGGCTTGAAAGCAGTGGGGACAAGGAGTTGGTCTCCGGTTTGGTTTTTTTCTTCGTCTCTGTGATTGGCACATCTGGGTGATGAAAGTTTAACGTGTTGGACGTTTCCATTCACAAAACTTTACCCTACAACAGTGGCGCAATGCCAACACACGGACACAGTCCTCGTCTCATACACAACTGTCTCTACTGCTGTTATAACCTTCACTGACCAGGAACCTGCAGAGGGTCTTTCAGCTCTGCTGTTTTCTAACACTTGTCATAATGGGTGCTTCTCTAGTCTCTTATTGCATTCATGTTTTCCTCACTTGTGTCTTTTCCTTGCATCTTAGTCAAAGGAAACCAAGCCAGGAGAGGAGGAACGAGGAAATGGTTTTTAGAGACACGAGACGTCCTTTCCTCCGAAGCGTCAGGTGAAGCAACGTCCGTTTCTGATGACGCCAGCAGCTGATCGATGCTGGATCATTTGTTAGTCGGCTCCAATAGCTGTAGAAACTTTTGATGGCATTTGTCTGCACACGTGCACTGTGTTGGTACTAATAAAATCTCAGTTTTCAGAGCAGCATGATTCTCTCTGTAGCTGTTACCTGTTAAACACCTGCACATGAATAATTATAGGTTGCTGTATATCCTGCTCAGAGGCACAGGATCATTTCTACTGGCACAAAGCTTATATTTCTGCATTTATATATATTGATCCTGATTGTGAATTCGTTATTGAATAACTCTACTAATTTATTAGTTTAAAATTTTTCAGGGGAAACTGAAATGATGTAACTTGTATCAAAGTTGACGCTCAGTTTTTGGCTTTCCGTTTATTTCTTCTTCTGATATCCTTTAACACTACTGCATACATTTTATTTGCAAGTCACATCACTCGTCACCAATCGATCGCTGCGTTCCATCATATCAATCCGATTTCTTTTTAGCTCATTCATCAGCTGATTTTACACATGGAGCCGCCGGCTGCTTTTATTAGATGCAGTCTGAGATGGCTGGAGGTGCAGACTTTATTTTCCTTTGCTTGCTTCATTGGAGGCTTTAGTTCAGTTTAGTGACTTGTCCAACTCCTTAGGCTAAGTCTTTACAATGTTTTATTGTCATCTATTTGAACTAAACACAGGAATTATCAGCCTCACATGACTGAATAGAAATGCAGATAAATTATGTAGCCTAAAATGTGCTTCTTGCCGACGGACTCTTCGACTCTCTGACTTTAATTGTCTTCATAATAAAAGTTGATGAGAGAAATAACAAAGAGAAATCTTTCTTATAATTGAAGAAAGTTGTGTGGGGCTTCTGGTGTTCAGACCTACAATGAACACAGATTTTGACAAGACAGTGAATCATAAAACAAATCAAATACTGTGCAGTGATACACTTGAGTTTAATGTTATCTGTCGTGATGTATCAGACCGATCAGCTGCAGTGTCCAATCAATATAATATAACAATTTGATATTTATTTATGACGTTACAGCATTTTAGTGGGACAACTGTGGATTTGTGCATTTTATATTGAATAAATTTGGAGCTACTCCAAATTCCTCTTTTCCTCTCCCAGAGAGGAGCAGGGGGTTAAAGATCAACTTTCAACAGACTGCTGAAGAGACCCCAACAGAAGGGGGGTGGAAAGTTGCTTTCTTTAAGTGTTATGCCTGGGCAGTTGATCGTAAAACTGGCGCCTTTTTGATTCCGAAGCTGATAACGCGGGGCCTGACTGTTAAACTGACAAAGTGACACTAACCAGCGATTAGCATTTCCCTGAACAGCCTATCAAAACTGCCCCCCCACACATGTAACCATGGCAACTGACCTTGCTCTTTGTTTTATTAAGCCAAACTTTAAATAACCAAAGACTGCAGTCTCTAAAGACTCAAAGCATTTAATTAAATCTTAGTTACTTGATTACGTTTGCCTCTATTTGAGTAGTTATGTTACCATGTTGCTATCTGTTGTTATTAGCGCTGAAAAGAATCTAAATAAGTTACTTTTGCAGTGTTTTTATTTTCAGCAAGACACCCCTTTTTATCTAATGTGTAATCAATGTGTGTTCACAATACTTTCTCACAAAATTCCTTTAGAAATGATGATAAAGAAATGTCATACTATACTCTAGTAATTATCCAGCTTGAATTTAAGGTTGAATTCCCCATTTCCTAAGGAAAGATTGTTTTGGGTTAATCTAAACTTTCCTCATGTAACCTGAGCTCCCCCAAGTGGACAAAATAAGTATTACATACCATTGTTGGAAATGCCATTAAATATATAAATATCCTGACCAATAATGTGACAATTGTTTTCCTGTTACCAAATGCTTAACTTAGAACAGTACAACTGCTTGACCATTGAGGTTTGATTATGGAAAATATTTGATTATAATACGTGCAAATAGATTTATTTTCTTTTAGACATTAAGTTTAGAAAGGCAGTCCCTCGGGGAACCACGCCCCAGGCAACAAAAGCACGACACACAACGTTCTTTGCTCTCTGTTCTTCTCCTCCCCTCGTGCTCTGTCCTTCCGCTCTGCTCTCTGGACGCTTCAGCACGCGTCTGGCGTACCTCGCCAGGCAATGCCTAAGAGTCGGCCAGCGCAACAGGCCTTTGTTCGCTTGAAGCTACACACGCGAAGTGCCGCGACATCGATCTGCCCCTCAGTTTGTTTTAGTTTCTTTCTTTTGTTAAAGTTATCAGTCCGTAAAGTTACACTGGACTAATTCAGGAACGACCAAGTTCCATTTTTAAGCTTTTTCATCGAGCCAACTTCACCGAGGTCAGACCAAGCCACGTGGTCTCGCCAGCGGCAACGAAGAAAACCTGAAAACAGCTGTACTGCCAGACGGAGGACGGTGTTTTGTTCAGTCAGACACAGGGACCCCCGGAGAATCCCTAGCAAAAAGCCAGGATCAGGCAGCTAGCGTGGGACCCGTGCAACAGGCCAAAGCAGGCCGTCGACAAGCCGTAAGACCAAAAAAAACATTCTGTGATCAGAGATGTCCCGTACTGTTAATATTTCCTTTTTCCTAATTTAGCCATGCTACACCTACGAAAGGACAAAAAAATGAAAACCTTTGTAAATGAAATTTAATACTTTGTAAATAAAATTTTATACTTAAGGCCTTATTTTTAGAATATTTTAAGACTTTTGTAATACTTTTAAGATCCCGCGGTTACCCTATACATAAATACTACTGTCATTGCATGCTTTTGTGTGTTGAATTTCAGTCATGTAGACAGAGCCACCGGGATATCCATGTCTTTTACCTTTGTCCACAATGATCTCATTGGTCAGTAGTTCAGGTGGTTCATTTTCTTTGGGCTGAGAGAGGCTTGGTCTGTGGCTTACAACAGTTGATGTCTTAACAGCATCAGCCACAGTCATGACTGGTCGGTCCTCTTTTACTGCTCCTGTCACTGCATTTTCCTTTAACAGAGCACAATGGTGCGTTTATGACAACTGACAATGGGTTGCAAGGAACAACAGACCAGAAGTGGATCAGGCTTCGTATAGCCGGTACTTGATGTACGTCATCCCATGTTTCACTGTCAAACAGGAAAGAGAACTTACCTGTGAAGTGACACCTTGTGGAGGGATGAGCTTCTCCATTTTCTTTTTAACTTCAAGTTTAGCAGCAGCCACTCTCTCTTCACACAACTCCTTCTGGGACAGGACCTGGGAGTGACACTGGGTCCTACGCACACGCGTGCATCAACCAGGAATGACAGAAACACATTAACTGGCACGAAGCAGTTCATGATATGTGTGATATTTCATATGCATGTGATATTTTAAGTTGATGGCAAAAAGCCTGAGAGGCAAGGGAGAAAAAAAATTCTGGTGTCCATTGTCCAAATCCATTGTGTAAATCTGATCTAAATAGTTTGATCTCCTATGTTCATAACTAGTGAAAAAAGGTTAAGCCAGTTTCTACATTCTTTTAATTATGAGAAATCTTTTTTTTTTTTTTTGGTCAGTTGTCCAGCAGTGTTTGTTGTAATACTCATTCCAGCCACAAAACGCTCATGTGCACCACTACACCATGTTCTAAATATGAATAAAAACATTCATGTTTCCTTCTAGGTGAAGCGCCGATTAAAATATATTTCTAGTCAAAAGCAAGGCATGACATGACACGAAAGACATGAAGGTTAAGTAACTTGCTAGAACACAATATATGTAACTTGTGTTTAGAGTGCATGGAGAAACTCAAGTGGAAGCAAACATGAATGCTTTTAGTCCTGTTTAAAACATGTGGGTAGTGGTGCAATTAGGGCAACCACATCCAGCCTTCTGTGACCGAAATGAGTATTAGAAGACACTGCCAAAACTTGTTGACACATGAGAAAATTTACCTTTTTTTCACCTGCTAGAACACCATATATAAAATGTTTTGTTTTTAAGTCTTAAACACAGGAAGAGAACACTATTTAGATTGGACTTAGAAAATGGATCACTAAAACCTTTTCTTCTGAACTTGCCTCTCGGGGCTTCCCTACAAGAATGCTGCAATTAATTTCATCTTCATAGACCTGTATAAATTTAATTGTGAAAAGGAATCTTTTTCTTACATGTCATAAGTAAGTTTGCTGTTAAGGGTTTTGATGCTGCCTTGGCAGCTCTGCAGCTCCTTCTGAATCTTCCCCAGGTCATCATTTAGCTGATTCAACTGACCTACAGTGCAGACACAAACAAGACGTTAGAAGCCACATCAGAACTGAATTCTATTATTTTTCTACAGAGTTCTGCTGGCTGTTGACGGCAATGCACTTTTGAGAATTAGAGGTTAAACTTGTTACCTTTGAGTTCCTGTAGGGTTTTAGTACTGGAGGAAATGTTCTGCTGCAGTGTGCCCTAAAAGCAAAAACACAGCAGCTATCAATATTCACAGCTGCTTTACAATTTATGTCAAATTTTTCATTGGATAATGTTTGGTGCGAGACACAACAGTGAGGGAGTAAAAAGTGTTTTCACTGCCCCGCAATTCCTCTGTGGCTATAGTTTATAGACAACAGTTTAACGTGCAGATTGTCCTTGCATTTTAAACTCCCAGTGGTGTGCACCTTCTCTTGGCTGCAGGTGTTCTGGGCTCCTTCCAGCTGTCTCTTGTAGAGGCTTTCTATGTGGCTGATCTGCTCCTTTTGTCTCTGGATCTCCTCCTGGAACTCATTCTTCTTCATCTCAGCTACTCCACGCTCCGCTGCTCCACGTCGCACCAGGCCTTCCAACTCATACAGCTTAGTCTGTATCACACAAACAAAGACAAATGGGTTAAGGTAAGTTCAGCTATTTACTATTACTTTTTTTTTTAGGCCATTCATGTGTTTTGAACTATTTACAGGGATGCAACCTCATCAAGGGTGAAAAAGGTGACAAAGATTCCCAATTAAGGCTGTCTGCGTTGCCCCATTCCATTTAAAAAAAAACAAACAAAAAAAAACAAAAAAAACTCATTGGTTCTACACAAATCACATAAATGGTCTATTCTGGATTCAAAGTGGCAAATCATTTTCTTCCCTTCATTTATATTGAAGGACACAGGTAAAGATGACGACAACAAGAAATCTGACACCGGGTATTGAAAGAACGCCAGAAACCATAATCAAAATAAAGCACACTAGCTGTGAGTTTCCTCATACTTGTCACTTATACCCAAGACAGAAAAAAGAAGAACCAGCACCAGTGGCGCAACTGTTTTTGCAAAACAGCGGAAATGTTTGATTCATACATCCCTGTTCTGCAATGCAAACAACCAAGGTACTTGGTTAAGTTCATTGCTTTTAGTGACCTACATTAAAGGATGTGTGTTGAAAGTGTAAAAGGAAATTCATTAGCACACAGACATTTCCACACCAAAAACCCCGAAAATAAAAAAGACGAACTTTTACCTTAAAGTGGTCACATTATGCTAATTTTCAGGTTTATCATTTTATTTAGGGGTTGTACCAGAACAGGTACAAGGCATCATTTTCAAAAAACACCAAATTTTGGGTCATACTGCACATTGCTGCAGCTCCTCTTTTCACCCTGTGACTTGAACGCTCCATTTTAGCTGTGGAGTGATACATCTTACTTCTACAAGATCTTTGTTGGGAGTTGCACATGTGCAGTTCCTAGTTAAGGACTACTAGCCAATCAGAAGCAGAGTAGGGTGGGTCTTGAGAAGCCGGTAAACAGAGCTTCGGTTCATCTGTATGTTCCCCTTACCAGCTTAGCAACATAGACTGGAGCAAGAGTTTCAGAGTGGTGAGTTAATAATCTGTAACAAATGTATCTTTCATATATAAAGTTTTAACTGAGCTCTGTGTCTACATCACAGTAACAACTTGATGCCCATCGACTGCCTGTAGGGTAGCTAGTGTTTGGAAGGGAGAGAAGAGGTGTGCTGCAGCTCAGTGTTTTTCCACCGGTGTTTTTGAGGGCATGTCTGACTAGCCGCTTGGCGAGCATTATGATGCGCATTTTGCTTTGGGATCAAAAGGAAAAGGCTGGATAACTGTTTTCAGGCAGTTCAAGCAGTATTTTCTCTGGGAGATGGGAACTCCCTCTGTGCTGGACTTTGGGTTTTTTCACTTTGTAAACCTATTACATGCACATAAAAGATGTATAACTCAACAAAGGAGAGGGAAAAATGACCTCTTTAACTTCTGCAGAAGTGAAGGACAATGGTGTTGAAGATCTGCACCAAAAGATTCATGCAATACTAACTGTAAACACATCAAGTCTAGACTAGAACCTGACATTGCAAGAATCAGATGTATTCTACAAGAAAATATGAATTGATTGGTAATGATTTCCGACACAAGACGCTTCAAACTACATTCAATTTATAATTCATGCAGTGTTCACTTCAAAGCACACGGGATCTTTTAAATAACTTAATGCTTTACAGCAAGTTTTTTGGGGGGTCATTTATTAGGTGATATTTGCAGTCCACTATGATTAGAAAACTACAGAAACACAAACACATACAGATGAACCTACCTGTAGCTCCAGGTTGCGGGAGCTGGACACCCAGTAGTTAAAGCCCAGAACCAGGATGCATGCAACTAGTGCACCAATCATTAGAGGCGGTGATCTTCCTCCACGACGCCCATTTCCCAGCCCACCCATAGCTGTCTACAAAATACAAGCATATAAACCACAGTCAGAACACTTTGAATGAATTCTATAATTACATGTTAAAAACAAGTCTTTTCTGACTTTAAGCATTTAATTATCTATTATTTGAAATTAGTCAGCTGGATTCTACAGGTGCTTTGTCTTTGCAGGTTGACTATAGACCTGTGGTGTCCAAAAACATCACAGGATGGTCTTCAGGGAACCTTATTGGATCATATAGGCCAAGACATCAGTGTTTTTAGCAATTCTATTAAAAGTACTGTATGCATTCAACTTTATTTTTATGTGCAAAAAGACCACATTTTAAAGAACATTCATGACAAACCTGTACACTGTCCTGCCTAATACTTAACACTATAGAGCAGCAAGATCTCAGTTTGTTCCTAACAATGCTGACTGAATTAAAATGCCTGCAGGTGCTGAGAAACCAGATTCACCCATACCAAGATTCAAAGTCCAATAATGGTCCAAAACTTTAATTTCACTGGTACACTACCATATTGTCTGGTGGGGGAAATGCAAACCGTCCCAGCCCTGCTTATTAAATGCATGGGAAGCCTTCCATCGTGCAAATCATCCAGGCAACAGCCAGTTGAAAAGAATTGGTTTCTCAATGACTAAAATGCAAACAGACGCCTCGTATTTATCCTGGCCTGCTGTTGATGCTGAAATTAATGTCGATGAGCAGGAGTTGTTACAGAAAAGGGTGGCCCAAGGGAGTCAACCTCAGCTCAAGATTACAAACAAGCACTGGGATAAGATGAGCAAATATTGGCGTCTGCTAAATAAGAAAATCCCAGCACAGGCCTATAATCAGTTTATACCGGTTAGGTTAGCCATAAAACGGTTACTCGTAATTATATTCGATCAGCTAAATTCCGGGTCATGAATGAGCTTGGCAGTTGAACGTTAGCTAACGTTAGTGTTAACAGTCATCACATACCTAACCCAGTAATTTGTATAACATCTTACAGAATCATTTTTTTAAATGACAGCCGACAAAGAAGAGTAATGAACTAAGCATAATGTAGCCATTTTATATTATTTGAGTCAATGCTAAACGCACCAGCGTTGCAACCTAACGCTAGCGTTGTTAGCAACGTAGCTTGTCCCCAGTTGCCGTTTAGCTGTAGGTTAACATTTAACTAGCTAACGATTGAAGCCAGACCATCTACTTACCCGATAGACTCGAGTCACAAATCAGGAACTAAATGTTGGGCCTAGTATATAGAGTGATATTTGGTGATATATTTCACAATTTGGCCGCAATTACCAGCGCATTAACACTAGGCAGTTAGCTCGTATTCATTATTGACATGGAAGCTGCAGACTTCCTGTGTTGGTGGTTGTGGCCATATGGTTGTGGCTGGCTGGGTCTGGGACAGTCTGGTGCTGCCTCTGCTTGCTGTAGGAAAAAAATGGCGTTTTAGCGTGACCATCATTTCACTGGTAAAATAACCCAAATGTACATTTAATCCTTTACATTTAATTTAGAAAGTGCTTTTGTCAAATCTTTAAAAGGTAAGATAATATTATTTCAAACAAAGCATTAAATTGCTCGACTTTTTAACTACTGAATTTTGCAGTTTACGAAGAGTATTTTAAAGCAGCACGGGCAGCCGTTCAATACAGGTGGAACTGTTAAAATTAGGACTTCTATCTTAAATTAGATTAAAACAGAATTAAATAAACTTGGCAGAAATTCACAATGAATAAAATATTGGGATGAGAAACAATATCAAAACACGGTTTTACTTTTCACTTAGTCTTACTTGAACTTGAAGGTTATATGTATACTAGCTTTTGAGACATTTGCACCGACTGTTTTTTAATATCATCATAATGCATCATTTTATGATGCAGCAACTGAAGATCTTAAAATGATGTGCTGGTGCATCACATTTAAGTAATTCATACTCTAATGAAGATTACATAAATGGGTAAAATGCTTATATTTTAATGCATAATCATGGCAGACAAGCAAATACAAAACATACACTCTTACAGAATGTCATGTCATTACAAACACTAAATATCCCACATGAAATAAGTTAGGCTGTTATCTCCCCTTTAAGTACGTGACTCAGTTTTCCTTTTGTTTTTGTTTCAGGCACAGTGAACTTTCTAATTTAAAAATAACATTTATCAACTCATGGTCGAATATTCAGACAACAATAAATTTCCACATGTATGATAATGTGTACCTGTGCCATTAATTTCTTTCATCCATCAATCTACACTTGTAAAACACTATTGTTTGAAAAATAATAATTATAATAAAAATAATTGTGCACAAACTTATGGCTTTGGACAAGAAATATCCTTTCACAGTTTGTAATCTTTTTCAGTAAATAATCCAGTTACAGAAATCAGCTGAAAAGTTTTTAATTTCACTTTCATCCTTTTCCTGATTGTATGTCCATATCTCAGATACATTATCTCCCTCTTATTTCCTGATATGCTATATAGTCCTTTGCATACTTGCCTCAAGAAAATAATCATTTTAAGTCCTTTTTTCATTCCCAGGAACATGTACTAGCTTTGAGCTTTCCTTCCATGTCTTCCGTCTATCAAACATTGTCAAAGATGCCCGTCTGAGAAGGTGACAGAGACAGGTAACGTCCTCCTGTGGATCTATAGTTTCACACACAGAGAGATACAGTAAGTTATTCACAATCCAATTTGATGTAAGATCGAGTTCTGTGGGCCATATTGTTATTAAAACACTATGTTCAGTTAATATGGCAAAAAAACACATGCCTTCTGTTGGGCGAGCCTTCATCACTGGAATTATGTTGCAGTAAACCTCTCCGCTGCTCCTCCATCTCCTCATCTCTTCTGGTGAATGTGACAACTGAGAAAGACAGAAAGCAATGGATACACAGTATCCTGTAAGCACGCAAAACTCTTGATAGATATAAGTGATCCTCATCAATAAAAGGTTATTTTGAATCAGAATGAAGAGGGGAGAGCTGTAAGTTGACAATGGTACTTCTTAATGGTTTGCAGATTCTGTAGCAAAAACACACACAAACTGGCACCATTACTTTTTGTAGGACTTGTACAGTACAAGAGACTGGCCCTGCCTAAATTTCTCTTTTTCTGACTAGCAGACACTGGTAGAAGATGTATTTAGATCCTTTAGCAAAGCCAGACTGTGAAAATACTAAAAGACCTGCATTAAAAACGTTACTTAACTGTAATTATGTAAGTATTATCAGCAAAACTAATATAATGCTGATTATTATGATTATTGTTCCTGATGCATTTGTGCGTAATTCACATTGTACTGTTGAAATTGGTCAAGGTGGACCTGATTGATTTATTTTTATATATTGTTTGATAATTTAAACTATTATGTGCAAAACATATATGCATTTTTATCATGTTTTTATAAGTTCATCAAAATTCAAGTAAAATCTTCTACCATGTAAAACCTCCTTCTTCTCTCTACCTCTTCTCTCGTTTAGTTCATGTTTAGTTTTTACTTTTGGTCTATGTACTTTTGTGTTATATTTGCCCTTGTCTGCTCTGTGTTCTCTTTAATCCCTGCTTCAGTCTGTATTCTTTGTTGGTTGCAGTTCTTTGTGATCTGTTGTGTTCAGTAACCTGTGTCATGTCTGTTCCCCCAGTTATCACTCTGCATGCCAGTCTCTCTCTGTTTTCCCCTGCTCTCTCTCTGCCTACCTGTGTCTCGTTAGCCTCATGTCCCTCACCTGTGTACCTCCTCCCAGCTCATTAACCCTGTGTATATATCCTTGCTTGTTTCCCCTCAGTCTTTGTCCGATCATTGTTGCGTGTATACGCTCTGTCCCTCGTTGTCATGGTTGTAGTTTGCGCTGTCTTGTCCTATTACCTGCCTGTTCCCTGTTAGTTCCTGGTATTTTGGGTTAAACTCATTCTTGATTTTCTGTTAGTTTTCTATGTTCATTTTTGGATTAGTCTCAGCCACTCTGCCAGTAAGTGTGCTTGCCTTTTGATTGTTTATGGAATAAACCCCTTTTGAACTGTACCTCCTCTGCTCTCCTCCTGCGTTTGGGTCCACCACCCTGCTTATCCTTCACAACCACCACAATCCTGACACAAGTAAAGTACAATTCTTGAGTAAATGTACTTAGTTAATTTTAACAGATAACATGATTATGCAAGTAGGATAACTTGCTTAACTTCAGTCCCTTATACTGGAGCAAACTAAGTATAAGTTGCTCTGGGGGAGGGGGACAGGGAGTCAATGGGTGGTGCATGTTCCAAAGTAACCCGACCCTCCACACTGTAAAGTCTCTATCTACCTTGCATGGGTGCCTTGTGGCTAACATGGCATCTGTTCCTGCATCTATAAACAAACTCTTAAAACTAATACAGATGTGCATAAAATATACACCTGGACCCTGTTGGAAATGTCTTGTCATATCATTTTCAGTAGCTGTGAGTGAAACAGAAAAATATTTTACTCCATAGTTACAGTAGTTTTCTTTTATCCCTACCACTTTCCTCGATCTCTGTGACAGGGCTGCTCTGGTTATCCTTTAACTCAGTGTAACCAGCTCTGGTCCGCCCAGTAGCCCCCTGGACACCATACCGCTCCCTCCAGGCCTGAAAAAGACAAAAAAACAGACACATAAATACCTAGACACACTTAACATAAACCAGTAGAATCAGTAGGCCAACAGATTGGGTAGATTGTTTAGCTTCATAGAAAACTGTAAGAGAATTGATTTGATAGAATCAAAATTTCTAACCAATCTTCGATTTCCTCCATCCTCATCTTTCTGTCGTTTTCTTCTTTCTGCAGCAGAACAAATTGTAGTGTATATCGTTTAAAAAGCATGTGCACTAAATTTACAGTGAAGGAACAAATTATGGTCTACTATACTACTTATACTTTCAGATATATAATGTGTACTGAGGTATAAGAAATACATCAAAAGTAAAAGAGTGAGCCAGTGAAAGAACCTGATTTATCTAATAACTATTAAGTTCACTAGAAACAAAATATGAACAAATAATTGATCTTGTCTGCAATAATGTAGATAATGGTTAGTTAGTTTAAGTTTTTTAATTTATGATTACCTACCTCTTCTGATGAGTTCCCTGCCTTCATCCACCAGGTCAGAGGTCAAGTCATCGTCAGTAATGTACTGATGAAAGCCCAGGAGGTTCAAACAGCGAGAGCCTAGGCTACAAACCCAGACACACAAACACAAATATACTGTTAAACATATATTTTTTTTATGTGCAACATAAACAAGAAGGCTACTAAAAGTTTCTCAGAGCAGATTTCTTTCCAACAGACGTCCTGTGCAGTACCTATCTGTTAAGTAAAGCAGTTTTTAGTTGTTAGTGGTTATTGTTTTACCTGTAAAAAGTGGCAAAGCAGAGCAGCAATATCAGCATGGGATAATAGATGTAGAACCCATCGGATATGAAAGATAGCAGATGCATAGAGCCCATGATCTGACAGAGGGAAACAAAGGGGGACACTGATTTGAAGGCAGAAAGAATTTGACATTTTTCCATATATTTTTTGTGATCATACACATTTCCTGAAATGCTCATTTGTGTGATTGGTGCATTATGCCACTGTGTTAGTATGAATGTCTGCGTATGTGTTGGTACTATGTGCATGTTTGTGTGGGACCCACAGAGGTGTAGGATGTCTGTATTCTGTCCTGGTGTGAGATGGCGGAGTCCATGTGAATCAGGCCCAGAAAGTTGAGGCACAAAGGAGGGGTGAGACGGCAGAACAACCTGAGAGGAAAAAACAAAGAGAAGCAACTCTATGTCATCATATAATGTGAGAGACCGGACCGAACTGTAAAATACATATATTAGGACTTGAGGAGCGTACATGCCGCTGAACTGCAGGCTATAAGCATCAGTCTGGTGATGTGGCACCAGGTAATAGTAGTTGAAAACTCGTATCCGGAACACTGTGGAGTAGACACAGACACACAGGAAGAGGATACTGACGAAGCACACCATCTGGTGGGGAGACACAAAACAAGTAGAAAGAGGAGTCCGGTTAGCTAGTTCAAATTGGTTTCTACAATTTTCAAGTAATTTTCAAGTAAAGACAAAAAAGAATATTGTAGAAGATAAGAAAAATGTTGTTTTTGTTGAACATGTTCTTGCTTAAAGAAGCTAGCCTGTTGGGACTGTGCCTCACTGATTGCGTGCCCACCTCAATGCAAATGTAATTGTGTTGTTTTTCAGCCATCTGAACAAAGACGGCGAAGAGGGAAAGCACAGGGTGCGTGCTGAAGAAGGTGCACTCGGACCAGACTACTGCTGCTGAGAGGAGACACAGGAGAACTGCCAGCAGCCTGTAGAAA